GATTCCATGCAAAGATCTCAAAGCACTTCAGAAGCATTAACTAACCAGGCATAAAAACCTCTGATTGGCAGTGTTTTACTTTGTGTACATGTTGGGAAACTAAGGCAAGAACATTCAACAACCCACAGTAATTTAGTGTCACAGCTAAGAATCTGACTTCGGCAAGCTTTGGATCACGCCTGTAAATTTTGGGCTTATTTGTGACTCCAGTATTTTGTCTTTTATTCACTTGATAGAATATGTGTGTTTTGTCTTGTTTTGTTTTGCTGAGTGTCAAAGAGATTAGTTTAAATTACACTATCTAAGTCTAGAAGTCTATTTTTCATTATTCCTGCTTATTTTTTTCCCTTACCAGCAGTTATTACTCTGCCTCTATCTCATGACAACTTGCCACAAGAACAGTTCCAAATTTAACATTGAAAAGCCTCCTGTGTTTGTTGACATGAAGCTACATCTGTAGATGGGCTGAATAAGTAGCAAGAGTTAACAGGAGTGTTGTCTCTGTAAACCAGAGATTGATATAGGAACTACAGTTATACTATGTATCTATACTTAGAGGATATGAGATTTTAAATATTTTTTTTGCAATGCTTAAAGAAATCTAGGTAGATAAAATGTAAGATGATGTTTGCTTTTTTTTTAATTGCATCATAAGATAGACGATGATCTTTCTATTACTTTGTGTATAGGAAATTATGTACTATTGTGATCAGTTTTTAAAGGTAGGGTTTTGCCGCAAGCAGAATTCTTTCTCAATGTAATTTTAGACCACAAGTTGAACTCTTCTCTCTTTTTCAGCAGATTTATAGCCACTTTTTATTTTCTCACTGCTGGTTAGATTGACCTGTGACCAGAATTTCTCAAAAGTTTTCTTTGATGCCTTAGTTCTGTTCAATCTGACCATTTTATCTCAATTTGTGCTCAGATTCATAGAAAAAATAAAGGATGAAACAATAAGCGCACAGGGAAAAATTAAAATATTGCTACCACCAAATTATTTTTCAGCTAATGATTATAATCCCAAAGGCAAGGATATATAACCAAAGGACTATCAAAAAAACCATTTTTTCTGAACTTTTGATGAGACTGCTATATTTGCGTTTTAAAAAGAGGTCCTTAAACACTATCGACTTCCCACCAACACTCAAAATTTTAAATACTGCTGGTAAAGGGAGTCAATGGATCAAATTCAGTATATCTGAAGTCACTGAAATAAAGGCCCCTAAGAAAAATGTGTCAATTTTAAAGGTCTTTCCTAACTGAAGACCATTTTGTGATAGAGCCAAAGGTTAATAAAATCAGTAGTGAATGTAGCAATTTTACAGATAAGCTATTCACAACAAGTGTAGTTACTTGAATAAAAAGCTAATTCAGTTCTAAAATGCCACATGCAGTAGCAGTGAATAGCTGCTTTTAGGTGCTTTCTGGAGGAGGATAAAATACAGAATCACAGCACTCTTCTTTTCCAGCATCCCTGGCTGCCTGTAAATTGCTGTGAATGGGACTGTAGGCTGACAGGCTCTATTAAGACAAACTGCCTTTCTCATCGGAGAGATAAAATAAATCAGGTGTTTAGTCAAATTAAAATACTTCAGATGGAGCAGGCCCTGGGGAGCACTGATCCACCTGACAAATCTGAGAGAAACTCAAGACAGATGTGTTTTGGGGATAAGGAAGACCCCATGGAAAAAAAATGCACTGCTGTCTTTGGAGTAAGAGAATAGGATTAGAAGAGAGAGTGAGCTGTGATATATAATATTTTATGGAAGCTGGCATATTTACTGTATATTTTTTACAAAGCTTTTTGTTTTATCTCTTTTTATGGCAAATACATTTCACAGATAGCTATATTTTTATTTTATTTATATGTATTTTTAGTCAGCAGAAGAAGTTTATTTACTGGTAATGAGTTTAGGAATCTCATTGCTTGCTGCAGTAAGTGGATGCAAAACAGATGATGATGGCACACAGCTACTGATGACCTCTCCTGGCCCAGCCAGATCAGCTCAATCTGGTCTGCATTCTGAGCAAGTCGGTTTTTATTGGTATTTAAACTGTAAAATAATGGTTGGGATTTTCCAGTCTAAAATTAAATTATA